AGAATAGTGCAACAATGAATGAATGGAAACCCAAAATCTCTGTAAATGTTTATGAAAATTAATAAAATATAATTATAGAAAAAAAACCCAAAACAATAGGTTTTGTTGTTGTGTGCCCTAGAGTTGGAATGAACTCATAGCTGACCATCCAGCCGGTTTTCTGAGGCAGTAACTCTCACCAGTGTACTGCAACATAATTAACTATCAGGCAATTAGGTCTCCGAAACAAGATACTGCACTTATTAGCACTTATTCCCACATTTGTTCTTTTCCTCTTGCTTTTTGCTTACATTGTTGCCTCTATTTTATTACATGACACAAATAATATCTCCCCCATGTATTCTCTCAAACCTTTTTCAATCATAGAGGCAAACATACCTATGTAACTGATTATAAAGTATATCACCTGTTCCGCCACCATTTCTGGCAATGTGGTCCCTGGGGAGTTGTGCTGTTACCCAAAGGTTGCACCTTTTCAGTGGTTGGAATTCACCAATGGCTCACAGGGAGAAGGATGGGCATTCTCCTCTCATTTGATCCACTCAGAAAACCCACCAGAAGGTCAGCTACAAGTAGGCTTTGCCTCAACAGCAGTAAGCAAGTGAGGAACTACATTCATAAAGAATCAAGAAATAAAGCAGAGTACTCTTAGAACTTCATCTTCTATTTCTTTGACACAATAAGTTTAAGTGCTATATTTTGAGAATATAATAATGTGAGCTTAAAAACTGTGAGTTGGTTTCTGTTTGTAGGCTTATTTTCTTATAAGTCTGTTAGTTTTGATGATGTATATGCTGATGTATTTCATTTGGTATCATTTAATTTAATTATCATTTCATGTGTATCATTCATTGTGGGAATAATCTATAGCCTAGGATATAATTCCCCACCCCACCCAGTCCCAAACAGGAAACAAGTTGATTTTTACTTTTAAAAGCTTTGTTGTTGCTGTTTTGTTATGTGTCACTGAGTTGCCATCTTATTGGTAAGAAGGTGTCCTGCTGAATTTCTCACTTCAAACTTTGTGAAAATTGAGATCTCAAAACAAGTCTAAATTTGGGAGCTAGTCTGAGAGTAGAAGCAGTGTCCCTAACTTTGCTCATCCATCTCAGGTTTGGTTTTCTCCTCAAATTTAAATTGGTAATTTAAACTTTTGTTCTGCCCTTGATTACTGTCTGTGAGAGGATTAGTGTAAATAATCTCCACTCCCCAAACTGGACACTGGAGCCCTTTTCCTTTTATTAGAGGATCAAATGCTCAAGCAGAAAATTTACCCTCTAGTAATATCCAAAGGTTTGAATCCACCAGTAGCTTCGAAGGAGAAAAGTGGGAGGGAAATTTCTTCTAGTGCAGGTTTTAGCCTCAGAAACCTGTTGGAGGGTTCTGTTCTGAGCTGGTTACCACTTAGCTAGCAGTGAGCAGGGATGCATTGAAAAATGACATGAAATATTTAAATTAAAGCATAGACATATCAGAAGAGTAAGTGTTAGTTATGAATCTTAAATAAAATTAAAGCAAGTAGTATAAATACAAGCAAGATTCTGAAGATTATGCAAAATCAACAGGAACAGCACATCAACAGAGAACTGCCAGAAGTGCAGGCTGGCTTTAGAAGAGGTCATGGTACAGGGATATTGTAGCTAATGTTAGATGGATCTTGGCAGTACCAGAGGAATGTCTATGTTTCATTGATTATGCAAAGGCATTTGACTGTGTGAATCATTACAAACTGTGACTGACTCAGAGAAGAATCGGAATCCCAGAACACTTGATCGTGCTAACGAGAAACCTATACTTGGACCAGGAGGCAGTTGTCAGAACAGAACAAGGAAACCGCATGGTTCAAAGTTGGGAAGGGTGTATGCCAGGGATGTGTCCTATCTCCATACCTTTTCAACCTGTATGCAGAACAGATTATCTGGGATAATCAGTGGGTCTCTATGAGGAGAAGCGTGGCATCAGGATTGGTGGAAGATTCATCAACAATCTGCATTATGCAGATGACACAACCCTGCTTGCTGAAACTGAGGAGGACCTGAAGCACTTGGTGCAGAAGGTCAAGGACTGCAGCCTTCAATTGAGGCTCAATGTCAAGAAAACAAAGATTCTCTCCACTGGGCCAATTGGCAGCATCAGGATGGATGGTGAAGAAATTGGACAATGATTAGGGATAATAGAAGGAGAGTTGATGCCTTTGAGCTATGGTGCTGGAGAAGAGTATTGAATATAATACCACTGACTGTTAGGAGAACAAACAAGTTTGTTATGGAGAGGGTGAAGCCTGGTTGCTCCTTGGAGGCAAAGATTTTGAAACTTCATCTGACATACATTGGACATGTTGCAAGGCAGGATCAGTCCTTGGAGAGAGACATCCTTGGGAGGATGGAGGGACAGTGTAGGAGAAGAAGACCCTCAATGGGATGGATGGATTCAGTGACTGGGGTAATGGGGATAGGTGTATTGGAGACAAGATTGCCAAGTCACAGAGCAGGGTTTAGGGCTGTTGTACATAGAGTCACTATGAGTTGCAGGTGACTCAACGCCATATAACAACAACAATAACAGTATAAATACTTGCAGAATCTGGTGACTTAGTGGTTAAAGAGTTATGATGTCAACTTAAAGTCAGGCAACTTGAATCCACTAGCTGCTCCATGAGCAAAATATGGGCAATCTTCTCTCATGCAATTTACAGTCTCTGAAAACTGACAGGAGATCAGCTGTGACTCAGCAACAACTGACTGAGTAAAAATAGTTTCATAAAGAAATATGGAATAGAGTGTTATGTTAACATTTAAATATTTGATTCAATTTCTTAATATTTACATATAATTACATAAAAGCTAAATATTGAAAATGACTCCAATATTCAATATTAGGGCAATGTTTTAGTAAATTATGATAGATCAACATTGTGGTATATAATAAGATCATTTAAAAGGATAATTATAAAAGTGATGTAAAACAGTGCATATTTATGATATAACATTATATGATAATAGCTCATTTGGTATATGAAAATACAAATCTTGAATATAAAGAACAAAAGTATAAAAATAGAATTTCTATTTAATGGAGGGCTATGTAGTTTTCCCTTAAAAAGTCTTCTTACTTGCTATATAGCCTTCTCAAAAATAAAGACAAAAATTTCAAAACTTAGGTACAAAACTATCATGCTAATAAATTTTCCTCAATTTCAGAATGGAATAATTTGTCATATTTTATAAAAGGAGGGGTAAAAGGAAAAAAAGAAGAGCAAGAGTATCCAAGTGTATTTAATAACTCAGGATTTCCATCAGGCTAAGCCCATTTTTGTTTCTTCTCAGATTCCCACATAGCTCACATAGAGAAAAACACCTTAGCTTCCTCTCAGCTTAAAATTTATTAAAAAACAAAAGTAAATTAAAAAGTAAACAAATCTGAGGTCTTTTCTTGCTAAGACACAAATCAGTTCTGAGTAGATGAGCTTCAGAGAAGATGCTATAATTTGAAAATGATACCTTTCATTTCAGTAAATGAAAACCTTTCCCTGGACTCTCTAGTAGAAGAGGGAAATATAAATGTATAAAATCCTTTATTATGAGTATAAGCTATATGAAAGTTTAAAAGTTCCCTCCCTTCCAAATTGTATTCTTTTCCTAAATCTCTCCTCCTTTGACCAATTGCTACTCATCTTTTATTTCCATTTAAAAGACAGTTGCTCAAAGTGGCATTTCTTTGTTTCTCCAATACAAATTAGAACTCATTCCAATGTCATTGCCCTTATTAAAGTGAAACAGTGTTATTCTCATTCCTATTATTACTTATATTGAATTACACATAAGTATATATTAAACATATTACATATTGTACACAAATACATAAAGAGAAAGCTTCTGGTGAGGTTTTTCCTGGAAAAACTTTACCTTTTGCCGTGTTCTTCCTCTTTGGAAGGGAAGTTCTTTTATTCTGGTGGGGTAGAGGTGACTTTATGAAGGGAAATGAATTTATATGAAAATTTACTTGTTACGACAGTATGTCCTAAAATATCACTCTTGCTTTGTTTCCTCTCCTTTTCGTCCAGAAGAAATCAATGATACTGCTAAGCCTGAGATGTTCATGTTTCACAAAGGAGGTGTGCAAATCATCTGCAAACACCCCGAGACCATTCAGCAGTTTAAAATGCAGTTGCTGAAAGGGACAGAGAGGCGCTGTGAGCTCACCAAAACCAAGGAAAGCGGGACCACGGTGTCCACCATCAAGAATTTGGAGAGATGTCCATTTCAGTTATCCAACAACAGTGTCTCCTTCTTTCTCTATAACGTGGACAGTTCTTATGCCAGCTATTACTGCTGCCAACTAACCATTTTCGATCCTCCTCCTTACCGTGTCCAGACTGTTACCAGAGGATATTTACATGTCTATGGTAAGGCATTACTTTCATGTTCCTGATTTACATATTGATGTTCTTACCCCTAATGAAAATAATTAAGCAAATTAACGTACGTGTGTGTATGCGCGCGCGCGTGTGCGTGTGTATGTGTGTGTGTTAGAGTTTGTGGATTGGAGATCATAAATAAGTTAAAGGCCATAATTTATACTGAAACTATGCAAGGGATAATTTAGTGTTAATAATTACTGGCAGCAAATTTTACATAGTTTAATTAGCTAGACTGTTAAGTCAGGAAAACATCGTGTTGCTTTTAGAACATACATCCCATTAAAAATCAGGAGGAAAAAAAATGAAGAAACATGTTCAAACCCATGGTTTAATGGCTATTTTCTCTGTTTACCTAAGGTTTATAATTTTGGGTTTGTGTTCATGTTTATAATTGTGTTAAATGACTGAGAAGAATAGTATTATACTTCTGCTTCATCTTGTTACTCTTTTGCAAAATTACAGACAGAAAATTGCTTTCTATTAATCCTGTTTCTAAGCAAACATGTGTAGAAGTCTACAGAACAAAAACATCAAAGTTTTTAGGTTTTGGATGCTTGCTATAAGGTTAACACGATGTTAATCACCATTTGCTGAATGCCATCACTATCATGAAGAAAAGCTTCATTGGATTAAGTAACTTTCAAATTTGGTAAAAAGATTCTGTGTCTCAGCATTGAAGGATATGAAACTCTCAGAGTTGGTTTTTGGTTTTTTCCACCTTTATCTTTTAAAATCATTTGTTCCTCTACAGAATCACAGCCTTGTTGCCAGTTGAAGTTCTGGTTGCCCATCATCTGTGCAGCTTTTGTCATTCTCTACATTTTTGGATGCGTGATTATTTGTTGGCTTACAAAAAAGGTGAACAATTACTACCTTCTTTTTGTATAATCCTACTAAGAAAAACCTATGGTTATTTATCCATTAAAAGTGCACGTTACTCTGATCACCAAGGCAATTCCTTCTACTTACTAATTAAACGGAAAATTTGGAATAGAAGCTTATGATTTACTTATTTTAGAGAGCATTTTCACCATACAAAGAATATGGTTGGGATAACTGGTAAAATGTGTATGAGGATTTCAGGGGGATAGGGGTGGGGACGAGGGCAATTCTGAGGGTCATATGGTTTGATGGGTGAAGGGGGGGTTGGGGAGGTGGAGGGTATCCGGTGTGAAAGACAATGTATATAAACTTTGTAGGTAAATCAGTGTAAAAAATGAATTGCAAGAAATTAAAAAAAATAAAATAATTTAGTGGGTAACAATGACTTAAGTTACTATTATTGTTTTTTAAAGATAAAGAGATTGGGGTCAAAGAAAGACAAAAAGCCAGGAAAAAGGACAAAACAAACTGAGAGATGAGTATGATTTAAAAAAGATCAGGGCCAAGATAAAACAATTAGTTACAGTACAAGTACTCAACAGGTACGATAAAAACAATCCATGAAGTATCTTATAAGCCATCAGTAGCAGCTGAGAAGGAAATTGTAATTTTTTCCATTTGATAAATGATTATGCTCTTTGCTTTAAAGATAACCACAGAAAAGTTACTCAGAAATAAAATAACAATACAACTACAGCAATAATATCTCTGTGTTGGAGGATATGCTTTGTAATCTTTCATACTACAGCTTTTCAATCAAATAATGTGTGCAAATTTGCCTGATGCGTGCGTATGCTAATACTCAGGATGGTCCATGGAGTAGTCACTGACTAGACAGTCTATCTGGGCCTGACTTGAATATGAAAAGAAAGATTAGGAAGAAGAGAATAAGATAGAACCCATTGCCAAAGTTCATTGGGGAATAAATGTAAAATTAGGGGGAAATTTATTGGAAAGCTTTTAAAAATTATTTCCTTGATATTCTTTTGTTTTTCTTAAAGTCAGGAGTCTAAGTCATATTTTACTGCTTTTATCATGTACCATTTCCAGGAAAGACTAGAAAACAGACAAAAAAATGTGGAAGAGCAAATGCAAATGATGTTTCTGACTTTCTTTCAGAAGTATCAGTCCACTGTGCACGATACTAATAGTGAATACATGTCTATGGCCGCAGTGAACACAGCCAAAATACCTGGACTCAGAGGTATGTGTCATCTAGGGAGCTTGGTCAGAGGTAGTGATGGGTGTATCTTCATATTATGCTTGGGGTTTTAATTTTTTTTTAAGGAATGAAAAATATCTCTTCAACAATAAGGTATTGTTATCAAGTTGGAGCCAACCCTCCAGTGGGTATTCAGAGGCTATAAATTGTGCACAGGAGATTGCCAATCTGTCTCCCAGAGAACAACAGGTGGATTCAAACTGGTGTGCCTCTGAGTGGCAGTGCAGCTCCTTACCCACTAGGCCACCAGAACTTCCAGAAGCCTAGTTTTTGTTTTGGTTTGGTTTGGCAATAATATGAAATTTAAGTGACTTGATATTTTCTGTAAGGGAGCTCTGGTGGCCTAGGGGCAAGAAGCTGAGCTACAATCCCAAAGACACGTGGTTCAAAACCACCAGCTGCTCCCTGGGAGGAAAAATGGGCAAACTCCTGAGTGATTTCCTCTGAAAACTGAAAACTGGAGGGTCAGCTATGGGTTGGTTCTGACTTGATGGTACTCAACAACAACATGCTGTCTGTAACCTGAACCAAAAATAGGTTTCTAATTCACTATGGTATCAAGGTAATTGCTCAATAGAGACTCAAAAAATTCTGATGACTCAAACACATACTTGTTGAAAGGTGCATTAAGTCAGTTAAGGCACATTTACTGAGCACTGCTTAAGTGCAAGCTTTTGTAAAGAATACATGTGTTGAGATTTTGGCTGAAGCTTGGAAGTGAGATCTGGGTTGGTGGTACCAACAGAATAAAGAAGAAATTGTTGAATGGTATTTAATTATTTTACTATATTAGCATCCCAGGAATGGCAAATCAAAATGTCACAAGTAGGTGTCTTATAAAGAGATAAATGTATTGTCTCTCAGTTCTGCTAGAAATATATGTCAATAGACCCATGCTCTCTTATGGAGAGTGTTACATGCCTCTCTGACTCCTGGTAGACCCAGGCATTTGCTGACTTATACCTCTCTGTCCACATGACTCTCTAACTTCTGTGCCTCTCTACTCTTTTATAAATGTAGTACATTCAGTAACTGGGGTAATGAGGGTAGGTGTGTCAGAGACAAGGTTGGCACAGGATAGAGCAGGGTTCTGAGCAGTTGTAGATAGGATCACTATGAATTGCAAGTGACTCGACAGCACATAAAAATAACAACATGTTGAATTATGTTCAACATGACTATGACCTGATAGAATCTTTAACAACGTCTTCAAACATCTCCTTTTCAAATAATCACATTTTCAAGGGTAGGCGCCACAACTTCAACATATCTTTTAAGGGGATACAATTTAGTCCATTACATTTGACACAAAGAGAACATGAATTGAGAGAACTTGACTAACTTTAGTATTCTTACAGTGAAGTGGAAATTTGAACTTTTCTCTTTAGAGACATTTTGTGCTATCAGCTGAGGAACAACTAAGAAGTCTAAAGCATTCACCATAGAAACATCTTTAATCTTACATTTTTGGGATTGGAATGATGAGTGAGAAGTCATAAGGCAGATGTTAATGCCATTTGCCATCCAAGTTGTTTCCAACGCAGAGGGACCCCATGTATGCAGAGCCGAAGTGCTCATCGGGGTGTGTAGCGCTGTGGCCTTTGAGAAGAAGCTACTCAGGCTCATCTCCTGAGTGTTTCACAGTTTGAACCACCAACTTTTTAGCTAGTAATTGAGTGCTTAAACAACTGCACCACCCAAGGAACTTAATGAGGCTAAGGCCACTGTAATTTTGTCATCAGTTAGTGGTTAAGAACTGTATAAAAGAAACTCATGTTATCAAGGAGTCATGGAAGGGAAAGGTAGCATGTGCTCCTTTATTGTTTAGATGAGAGAAATTAACCCCCAGAGAACCAAGTGAGTTTCTTAACTGCTCAGAGAGCAACACCAACGCTTTTACAGTAGCCTAGAACTTGTGACTTATGTTTCATGGCTTTTCTATTTTTTTAAATACATATTTAACCTCAATTTTTGTACTTATAGTAATATATTCTGTATTAGTTTGTTTTAGTGGTTTATTTGAGAGGTGATTCCAGGAAGAAAGAGCAGGCAGAGAGTGAGATGGGGATGGAAAAGAGACAGGACACAAGGGCTTGACTTCACAAGGCCCTCAGAGATGTGCACAGACTGCAGAAGTAAAAGGCTTTTAAGAACTGCTCTGAAGACTGGCTCTGGGATCACTGGTCTAGGTTTGCATGGAGGTGTCATCTCATCTCCTTATCCCTGGGTTTGCCTGCAGAATAGATGAGCAGGTTTTCAATTCATGGGATAAACCCCAGAGGCAAAAACCAGTGAACTTCTCCATAGGGCTGGTGGTAGAAATGTCTGAAATGTCACTTCAGGCTGTAATCCACCTCACCAGCTGAATCAACTCTATGTTTTGCAATTTATTTTGGACAAATAATAACTGAATATGCCTACCATGTAAGCTTCTTTGAAGCATAATGGGCCTCTCTTCTATGTTCTGGAAGTATTATACACCAGTCCAAGCAAAGCATAACTCAACAATTGCATTAAAGACAACTCATTGAATTTGTATATGCTAATTTACTGTAGTCAACTCAACAACACATAACGATTGCTCAGACAGATGATACCATACATTTAGCTTATAATTGGTACACAACAGATGCTTATTAGATAAATGAATATTTCACAGGTCAATTATTAATTATGATTATTGTGTAAATAGCACTGTGTTGAAGAGACACATTGGAAAAGGAGAGAGAAGACCTAAGAAAAGACTCTGTCATCAAGCAGTTTGTAATTGTACTGGGACAAGTGATGGGTTTACATGGAAGCTGGAGTAGGTAAAAAATCCTGTTTATAATAGCTTGATTAGAAATAATAAAAACAAACTAGCTGTCATCAAATTGACAGGTTGGGTTAAACTTCATGGAAAAGGTACCATGGGTTCTGAAGCATATGTAGGAGTTTGGATGTGTGTGTGTGTGTGTGTGTGTGTGTATGTGTGTGTGTGTGTGTGTGTGAATGAAAGGCGGAGAAAAGGGTAAACCTTTTGGGAGAACAGGCACATTTTAAAGAGTTTATTCTACTATTCTGTTACAGATGTGACCCTGTAACCTGGAACTCTCTAGCCCCAGGTGTGAACGACATTGGCCAGTCCCCTCAACTTGAAGTGCAGGATTCTTTCCTTTCCTGGACCACAAAGTTTGACTTGATTTGACTGTATCCATCTCCTGCTGGTGTTTTGTTCAATTTGGACCTGTGCCCCCATCAGGCAACAGATAGATGGCCTTCATACTGCTGAGTGATCTCAAAACAAACACCTTCATGCAAAGAGCTTTACAGAAAGTCCTGCTCCTGTGTGCTCAGCAAATTGACCTTGCTGGAAAGGAATCTATGTCTTCTTCACATGTGCTCCTAGAAATGTAGCAGTCAGGAAAACAAACATATCTACCTAAAAAGAGAAACTTTAAAAGATGCCAAGGGCTTCAAATATGCAAAGCAAATGGGTAGTCATTGGCCAGCACCTGTCCATGTTTTACAAACAGGCTACCTCTTCTTTCTAAAGAGATGAATATTTCTGTCCTAAATCAGACCCTTAGAGGTAAAAGCTTCAGAACTGTAGCTGTTTTATTCCTGTTTCATTTCATTTTATCCTGTAATAATACAGTATTCAGGAGATCTGGTGGCATGATTTATAAGGAGTTATAAAGCTAACTATAAGACTGCTTCTCTCGGGCAATTAAAACACACCAGCAACTCTTCAGGAGGAAGATGAACAATCTTTTCTCAAGCACATTACAGCCTAGGAACCCAAAGGAGGATCAATTATCTGTCAATTCTGACTTGAGAGCCATATAGAAAGAGATAGAGAAAGAGTGAGAAAGAGAGAGGGAGAAGAAGGGAAAGGGAAAGGGAAAAGGAGAAGGAGTGGGAGAGGGAGAAGAGGGAGATGGAGAGGGAGAAGGAGGAGAGGAAGAGGGAGAAGAAGAAGGAGAGGGAGAAAAAGAGGGAGAGAGAGAGAGAAGAAGAGGGAGAAGAAGGAGAGGGAGAGGGAGAAGAAGAAGGAGAAGGAGAAGAAGAAGAGGGAGAGGAAGAAGAAGAGAGGGAGAGGGAGAAGAAAAGGGAGAGGGAGAAGAAGAGGGAAGGGGAGGAGAGGGAGAGGGAGAAGAAGAGAGAGAGAGAGGGAGAAGAAGACGGAGAGGGAGAGGAATAGGGAGAGGGAGAGGAATAGGGAGAGGGAGAGGGAGAATTCTGTTTGTTGTTCAACTTTGGGTAGTTCAGAACCCTTGTCCACTGTCCCATCACTAGTTTGAATATTTTCTCTTGTCCTCAGATTCACTTACTACAATCCTTACGTAAGACTACTTGACTAACAACAGCAAAAACAAAGCCAAGGTCACCAAGCTGACCTTGACATGTGGCTACCTCATGTGCACCAGAGCAGAGCTGCACACCCAAGTGCTCTCTTGGTCACAGTCCTTACATAGGTAGATCATCACATCTTGCTTTCATGGCACCACTCCCTCCACTGGGTTTCTGAGGCTGAAAATCTTGACAGGAGAAGATTGTCCCTCTTTCTCCCTCGGAGCTTTGGTTAGTAGTGCAGCTCACTGGACTGTGCCACCAGAGCTCCTAATGTGTGGGCTCACATTGCCAACCTCCAGGTTGGAAGTGCAGCACCTCAGGACCTGACTACTTGATGCTCACTCTGAAATCCTACATTTCTCCCCTTCTGTTGTGCAATCAAATACCGTACGATACATACTACTGTAGCCTAATTTGCCTATATTCTCCCCATAAGTGGATACTTGCCTCAGAAAACTTTCTATTTCTCCAACAGCAGAAATGGTTTGCTTTGTTAACATTAGTGACAAGAAACATTATCTAAAATCAAATACAGCTTTATAGAGTTTTCCAGTTTTCTATCACTATGTTTTCATGGTGCTAAAAATCACTAGTTAAGACTATTTTTACAAACAAATCCAACCAAACCTTCTTTGACTGGCACTCGTTCTCCTGAGGTAGAGCCAATTATCCATTCAGCACAAAACCTGAAGCTATGACAGGTTGCTAGGAAACTACCACCACACTGCCTCTGGGCTTGAGGAGTGGAAATGGGGACATTCCATCCTTATAATCCTGGAGCTGTCCGCTAGACCTGGAGGGATTCTGGTTGCTGAGAGATGCCCCAGAGCCAGGAACTGGCGCTCTTGGCTGCAGAGATTGAAGTCACTCTGGGAACCATGATGACTTGACTTGCATCTGTACCTTCAGAATCTGTCAGAAACACATTTTTCCAAGGATCTGGGATGACTCCACTCACCAAGACACCATTCACCACATAAACCAGCCCCAGGCCTTCAAAATAAATTCCTTTGAATATAGTTGGATGGAAGAATCCTTAAACACATGTGGGGTATGACTATGTTTAGTTAGACTATTGACTTACTTCCTGTCTATCAGCCTATTGGTTTCTGAAATAACTAATGACATACAACATTTTAAAATTTTGTGTAAAATAGAGATATTTAGTAGTTTTCAGATTTGCAGTTGCCTGCCTATGCTTCCCTTTAAAAGTGAGCTCCCATGTGTCATTATGCATACCTATATTATTTTAAGTATGTATAATACGGATGTGTACAGTATAGTACTGAATTTGCAATCTGTAATCAAGTGTGGTAGTCTGTTTTCAGATGACTGGGTCAACGTGTCTGGCTTTGGAGAGGAGTTCGAGGAGTGGAATGAAGCTTGCTGGGCGTGGGGAGACCAGCTGTCATGTGCCATACCTAGCCTGGTGGCCCACGCTCTGCCCGTGCTGCTTCTTTATCTCCAAACTGGACATTTCAATGATTAAAAAGCATTTCTGTGAAATAAAAACCTTCTTACAGGAGCCACTTAACAAATAGGCTCTAGCAATAACAGCAGGCTAGTGAATAAAGATATGATATTCAGTAACTGAAAATATCTTACATCGTTTTCTTTGGGGAAGGGAACTGATTGCCTTAGTTGCAGACTTAGTTTTGACTCTATGGTAATTACACTGCTTGGAACAGTTGCTTTCCTTCTCCCCCTAACCCCATCCCCTCTCTTCCCATTTATCTCCTTTGTCTCTTTCTTTTCTTTCTTTATTTTTTTTAAACAACCAGAAACTTACTGGGGATTAAAAAAAGGAAAGGATAAAAGTTCAGCAAAAAAGCAATTCTTTTCTTAAGGAAGTTTCTGACCTAATGTTCACTGAGTACTTCAGTATGTGTTCCATGAAACTTTACATCCCTCCCCAGAGAAAGTCCTAGTCATTATTTCCTTTCGAGTCTTTCTTTAAGCAGCAGATCATGTTCCAAGCCTGAGTGCTGCAGTCACAAGTAAAGCCCTAGGTTGAAACTCACTGTTCTTCACCATGCAGGTGCTGAGGTGGAAGGAGCTCCGGGGGTTTGGGCTCCAGTCTCATGGGTGACGATGAACTCAATTCTTCAATTCCATTTCTTTTTCCATTACTTCCACTGAAAGAAGCTGTAGACCTATTGGCTTCCTTGCTATTTAGTCTACTAAAGCACATCTCTGAACAATAACTGTATTTGTGAGTCAGCACATTTGAACTCATATTAAGGGGGGGGGAAATCAAACCCCAAACAATAAACTATTGCTTCACTTAGCCAGGAAGCTACCCTGTCCTTGGTGCCAGTTAGTCCCAAACACTGCGAAATAAAGTTTTTTTTCCCTTTTACTTCATCTGACAGGATGTGCCAGAATCCTAAAAGTAGTTGACAGTAGCTTTTAATGGCTGTTCAGGATTAATGTGGGAAGTAGGATAGACTTAATTAAATTATTTTGGGTCATAGTTTTCCCTCTAATGGAAATCAGGGTAGGGATCTTCTATTTTCCTCTAGGTCATGATATATATCAAATGCTATAGTGTCTGGATTTATTTCCTAGCAACAGCCAAGAAAAATAGCTATTTCTGGGAAGTGCTCCTCTCCTAATATATATATATATATATATATATATATATACCAAACCAAGTAAATGAACATGAGAAATATGGGAACCATTGACTACCTTCCAGTTGAAGCTTGGATCTAGTTTTAACATTTCCCAAACAGCACTTTGTGAGTGCATCTTATTGGTATATGAGCAGCAAAAGTGTGATTTGATAGTGAAATGCCTCCTAACCCTTCCCTTCCCTGCCTAGCCCTACTCTCTCATCCTAAAGGAACAATATTTCGTGTTGAATTCTGGATTGAAAGCAAATGTCTCAGAAATCTGTCAATCCAGATTCTCAAATGTCTAGAACAATCCATTATGCAGGACATCTCACATTTGATTGTAAGGAAATATATTTATAAAGCTCAGCAGCTGGAGAGAATCCTAATGATCTGTAGCTCAACTCTGTAGCTGGTCCAAAGAAACAAACTGATTGATGTGGATGCAACAATGGACTCAAAACAAGCAGTGATTTTGGAGATGACACAGCACTGGGCAGCATTTCCTTCTGGAGTTCATAAGGTTACTATAAGATGGACATGGCTTGATGACCCTGAACAACAATAACAACAACACCACAATCCAATGTGTCAGTAGTAAATTAGAAATGATATCTCTTCTCTTTGACTCCATTTTTTATAACTTTCTCCACTTGTTTTATCTTGTTGTTGTTATGTGCCATCGAGTTGTTTGTGACTCACAGTAACCCTATGTACAACAGCCCTAAACCCTGCTCTATCCTGTGCCAATTGCATTGCCTCTGACACACCCATCCCGATTACCCCAGTCACTGAATCAATCCATCTCATAGAGGGTCTTCCCCTCCTGCGCTGTCCCTCCACCCTACCAAGCATGATGTCCCTCTCCAAAGACCTGTCCCTCCTTACAACATGTCCAAAGTATGTCAGACGAAGCCCCAGAATCCTTGCCTCCAAGGAGTAGCCTGGTTTAACCCTCTCCAAGATGAATTTGTTTGTTTTCTTGGAAGTCCAGGGTATACTCAATACTCTTCTCCAGCACCACAGCTCAAAGGCATCAATTCTCCTACTATCCTCCCTAGTCATTATCCAACTCTCTGATGCATAACAAGTGATTGCAAAGACCATGACCTGTATCAGGCGGACCTTAGTCTCCAGAGAGACACTGTTGCTCTTGAGTACTTTAGAGAGGCCCATAACAGCAGACTTTCCCATTGCGATATTTTTTTTTTTAATTTCCTGGCTACTGGTACCAAGA